CAAAGTGGATCGAACCCGGTCGAGCTCTCCGGCACGGCAAGTTTCAGAGCACGAGAGAGGGGAAAAAGAAACCCGAAAAGAAATTAAATTGATCTAGTTTCTTTATGGCCAAGAAAGCTTCTGTGTGTGCATCGTGCAGCTCCCCGGAATCCCTGGAGTCGGCGGAGGAGACAACGACCGATGACAACGACGACGATGAAATATGTGGCCATAGATACGCAAACCGGGGACTACTTTCGGCCAGGCAAGCCGGCTACCTGGGCAGATGGCCTCAGTGACTAGACCGCTGCCCTTATGGGAGATGCTGCTAATGCATCGGCAGCAACCATGATGAATTAGTTTTGATTAGGCCCAGATGCAGTTGTGGGGTTCTGTGTGTCTGTGTGCTTCCTCAATGTCCCCATGTCCATGTCCCATCTTCCAGGTCCCCCAGCTCGACCGAGGCTCGCCAACTTTCGCTGATCTGGCCATAATATATCAGGGCTTTTCAATTAGTCAAATGTCGCAGACAGTGCGATACGGTGGGGTTTATTAATAGCCCTACGCTACTGGCCACTGAGGGTCCGTAACCCCAAGTTGGCATATCTTTGAACGGGCACTCCCAATTATCAAGTATCTGGGAATTCTGCTAAAAAAAAATTGGGAAAAATTCAACTCTGCAAATCAAACTTAACTTTGTCACCAAAGTTGATTTTCTACTACATATTTAACAAGTAAGGAAAATAAGCTTGACTTACCCAGTACCCAAAGTTTGTAGAGCTACATGCAAATATTTAGAATTTCAGTTAAATATTTAAATAAAAAAGTGACGCACATGCTATTTATGTTAGTATGTTAGGTAAATAGAAATAGTTCTCTCTCTCAAATCCTTGTACAAATATATATTTTTTCTCTTAAATTTCATTGCCTAATATTACGAATTACAAGGAGACCGACCGTCTGCAGTGGCAGCTCTACGCTTGTCTGGAGCGGATCACTGTGTCACAGGAGCTCGTGTCTATGGAGCTCGTGTGTTGCATGCGGCATGCAAAGTTGAACTTGGCTTAACTGCTGGCAATTCTATTTATTTACGAAATAAATCACTAACGGCAACTCATTAGCAGTTAAGCAAAGATATTAAGCCGAGGCTGTATGGAGATTGCCTGCATGACATTCTTCCTCCGGTCCTTTATTTGTGGTCTCAAAAAAAGTAAAGTCCGGTTTTTGATAGTTGTTGTTGGTGTTACTGGATCTGAGTGACTGTTCAGCGACACCTCGCTGGTTGATAGCTGGTCCACTTCCACTTCTACAGGCATCTCCACCTCCACCTCCACCTCCACCGGCAATCGCATGACTCTCACAATATTGTCGTCTTCTTTAGCCGGTATCTTGGTCAGCTAGCGATAAGCCATATTGGTGTCCATATATTGAAGCTACCGAATGGCTAAGATGAAATGTGGCAGCTTATCAAATCGAAATCAATTTGGTGCATATCGGGCATGCCATCTAAACACCTAAACATGTCAAATAGGCGCACTTAAGACGACAACTGCACATGTGCCTCCCCAGACTGCCGACAGTTCATCACCAGCCCCTCGGTGGATTCGTCCGGGAATGGGGATTGGGATTATATACTGCTCGCTGGCCAGATCGGTCGGTTGGCCAGATTCCGAATAATTTTGTTTGCGCCTGTCATAAGCTGAACTGGGCCCGGGTAACAACTGGCCATTGGTAGCCACAGCTCGCGGCTCAAATTGTACCGCAAGCACACAAATCACAAGGCGAACCTCTCCCAGCTTCAGCTCCAGCTCCAGTTCTAGCTCTAGCACTGGCTCCTCCAACCCCATCTCATCTCCTCCTGCTGCTGCTGCTCTCGTTCGATGATGATTGCTGCGCAGACAAGAATTTCTAGTTTCGGTCAAGGCAGAACCTTAACCGTGGCAGTCGAGAGGCCGGAGACTTGGTAGCCGCAGCCGTGAAAGCATTTTGCATTTCTATGCTCTATTCCAACGGGGGCTTATACATTTATTGATAAACATGCTGAGAAGCCCAGGAAAACATTCTGCTTTTACCTCTGAAAAACGTTTTAAAAATGTAATTTATTTACGATACTTAAGACTAGGAGGTATACGAAATTATTTGTGAAAATTATATAGATATTTTCGTTTTGAATGCGTTTTTCTAGTGTAATTTAAAAAAGGATAATATTTCATTAAAGTGAAATAAAGTTAAAGCAAAGCCAAATCACATAAAAAGTAAATAAATATTTGGTATATAATAATTGTTGATGAATTTATTATTAGGCATTGTAAGTATCTCCATTGCGAAATCACTCTGAAATCAAACCTGAATTCAAATCTCAAAAAGCGTTAAAACAGAAATAAAAGTATCGCCTGGTAACTTAATTAACAAATGAGCTTGCTTGAGCTTCTTCTGGAATACCAAGTATAAAATGACTTAAAAGCTGATTAATTCCTCTACTTGCTAGTTTTAATTAATAAGTTTTAAATATTCAAAGTATTGTGAAGAATATATATGCCTTGGAACTAGGTGGAAACAGGAACTTCATTTTTCTGGTATTATTTTTTATGAAAGTAAGCCTTTAGAAATTTCTTTTGAAGTCAACAGAAGATACTTATACCCATAAAATGTTACCCAAATAACTATAGATCCACTTGAGTTTCAAATTTTATTCCAAATTTTAAGAGCATCTCGTATTCTATGCTGCCTTCGTTTTTCCTTTCCTTTTTGCATTTTTACGATAGAATTGCGCTCATAACTTTTGCCAAGTCCCCGACAACGGCTGCTCGTCTTTGGCGAGCAGGGAAACTGAAGAATTTTAGGCCCGACATGCGCCTGTCGCTGCTGGCAGCCCAGTCGGCCTCAGCCAGCCGGCAACTGCAGCAACAGGTGAGCGGCGGAGGCAGTGGAAAGAACGGAGCTGATGGAGAGCGTTTCCTTGTGGTGGTCAGTCGACTTTCCTGGTGCTGCTGCTGGGGCGCTTTAGCTGGTGGCTGCAATCGCTTTGGAGTTTGGAACATTTCATTAGTTTTGAGTGCTGGCATATATCGTCCCGTGTCGTCGGATGCCGCTCCGCTTTGGCTATTATTTTCAATTTTATTGCGCTTTTTATTGGGGCTGCATTTCGCTATATATGGCGCACGATATGGCTTATTGAAACGAATGCCTAACTAATTTATATGACCAGAACCGAAGCCAATTCGCAGAGTAAAAGACGTAGTTTTTGTTTAATTTTAAATTTCGTTTTAATTTGTTCAAAAAGTGTTTTCGCCAAATTTGCATATTTTGTCCTCTTTTTTTTATTGTTGGTATCTTTTCTGTTTTGATTTATCTGTATAATATATAATTTGAATAATGTTTATTTACTTTGACATAAAATATCAACTTAGAATTAGGGATATATATACGTTAGAGTTAAATTTATAGCAAACAACTGATATAGCTGGGAGGACCGGAAGCCACCCGCTTTGGATGATAGAACCGATTTGACAGACTTAGCGATCTAAACACAAAGACAGTCTTTGAAATTAGAGTTAAAGAATTGAGAGCCTCTTAATACATATATCTTAGGAGGGTATGGGTTTTCAAGTGGATAATGTGCACACAAGAAACATTAAGAAACACTTACTTTTCTACGTAATCAACGCACAAACAAATTATATTTGAACGGCAATGCGACATCTACAAAAAATATTTCTGCTAGCTTCACCTTTTGAGCATTGAATGTCTTCTGGCCTTAGGTTTCATTTTCTTAGCTACGAATAATTGTTGTCTAGCTAAGAATGCATCAATAAAATACATTTATCCAAGTGAACTTTACACTCATATAATTCATATATATATATGGAAGAAAAACTGTCCATAAGCAACTCGAGTTATAAACACATTTATGTACACAATTAAATACACCTACGGATATAATCTGCTTAAGCTTCTCCCCCTTTCCTTTTCGCCGGAATAATAATATTATTATTAATAATTTGTAACACTGAAGCATGCATCAAACGAACAATATGAATCACAACGTTTAAAATTTAAAAATCCCTTCGTTAAATATAATTTCTCCTCCTCTGTCTGCGTTTTATAAGCTTCATTATTTTCTTGATGGCACATAATTTTCACACATTCCTTGTGACTTAATCTCTGGACATTACTCTAGCGGGAAATGCCGAACTTTAAATACAAATATATAGATTGGGGTGTCTTTCTTCCTAATTTCCCCCTAAGAAGTGTGTGTTTTTCGTTTTTAATTGTTGGCACTGCCCTTAACCTTCCTTATCAGCTATTTGTAGGGTTCTACCTTATTCCCTCTTAGTTTCTTTTTTTGTCCGATTTAGCAGCTATGCAAAATATGCTTTCACCATTATTTTGCTATTTAAAATAGATTCGAATTTAAAACATCCTCAAACCATTCGTTACTTTCGTATTTCAGCTGTCGTTGCTTTCTACATAAATTTTTTGTATACTTCATCAAATATATTTGTCAAGTGGCACAAGAGTTGCGATTAGTTAGGTTTATGCGTTTTTTTTGTTGTTTTGTGTGTTCTGTCAACACTTTCTACTTCGTTTCAAGTTCGTTAGGCTATAATTTGTGAGGCGCCAGACTCATTCAGAATAAGCTGAACATCAAAATCATGACCTTATATTCCTTACTTCTATTTATATTGGTGATTCATACGGGTGATTCATAGCTATACGAAAATATATATAGCCATGGATAAAATTCGTGTGAAGGATTCTTAAAACTCTGAAAGCTTGTCTTGTTTAAGATTGCTATTGTCTAACACTCACGAAACGCGCTGTACTCTTCATACGAATCTGTTATTGCCAAAGGCTACAAGTCGAAACCATCCTTTCTAATCTTTAACAAATAATAATAATAATAAATAATAAGCAAGTAAGTATGTTTTTTGAAAAATTGTTATATATTTCGAGAAGTAAAATAAACTAATAATATAAAAATAGAATAATTAAACTTAAAATTCTAAAAACTAGGAAGATATCGATTTCTACAGTAGACTGAACAAGTATATTTATTTTAAATATCATATATAATAAGATAAAATTAAATTTTCATTTGCCATATTGATTTCGAATCAGTTAAGGAAGTACAAGGGGCATTTTTCAAATTTAAGTTTCGGTTTCTTTCTTTTTTTTGTTTTGTTAAACAAGTTCGCTTCACTTCGTTCATAATTAGCACACGAAATTCCATTATTCGATTTAAAAGTAATTTTTGTTTTGAACTTATGCAATTTATAATGCTTAGAGGAAAAAATGATATGCTAAGATTTTTGTGTGCTCCTTTACGTTTCTGAATGTTAAAACCTAAAGCTAAACCTTTAAGACAATAAGTTAATAATTATAATGTATATATAATTATTATAAAATGCAATAAATTAGTGTGTGTGTGTGTTCTTTTGTGTGTGTGGTGGTGTGTTAGCATTTTTAAAAAATGAACATTAGCTAGGCAAAGGCGAAAGAATTATAATTTTTAAAATTATTTCTGGTTATTCATGTAGTTATGTAAGGAAATTAAAATTAATAATTATTACACATGAGATCACAGTATTAGAGACATAAGTTAAATATTTTCCCACTTCAATTATATCAAACATTATTAGTAATCATCAATTTGCTTTAGTTAGGCTTTGTATGGTTAGTAACTTTGTTTTGCTTTGCTTGATTCTTATCCTGGCCATTACTGGGTGTGTGATATATAGTATATATATTATCTAGGCTAACTGTAGCATATTGTAACCTCATTACGATTTAATGTCTTGCATAGATTTTGCTGGTAGCACAACCCCGGTATTACGACTACAACTCAGTATACATTAATGATTATTCAGCATCAGCGATTGATTCCCTGGTCCCACCTCAGTTCTCCGAGGAGCCGTCCTTGTAGAAGAAGGGCTGACTGGAGTCCTGGCCGACCCACACGTAATTGAACTGCACGGGGCTGGTGAGCGGCGACAGGGTGCCGTAGTCGGAGGTCAGCTCGAAGGGAAAGGCGTTCTCGTCGAGATCCAGAGCCAAGGCCAGGTTCACCTTGGGCGGGGGAACCCGGGCCTTGCCAACGCCGGATGCTGAGTTCTCTAGTCTCTACATGCTCGCACTCGAGGTAACTATGGCCAGGTCGGCGGCCTGCAGGAGGTGATGATGGGCATGCTGATACTGCGGGTGCTGCTGCAGGCTCAGGTGATGCTGCTCCTGCTGGAGTTGTTGCTGCTGCTGTTGCTGCTGCTGCTGTTGTTGCTGCTGTTGTTGCTGCTGCTGTTGCTGCTCGCCACGCACCTTCTCCTTCTTGATGCGCTGCTTCAGATGCACTTTGGCGTGCCGCTTCTTCTCGTCAGAGCGGGCAAACTTTCGGCCGCAGATGTCGCAGCTGAAGGGCTTCTCCCCGGTGTGGGTGCGAATGTGGGTGGTCAGGTGGTCGCTCCTGCTGAAGCTGCGCATGCAGATGCGGCACTGGAAGGGCTTCTGGCCCGTGTGGATGCGTATGTGGCGGGTGAGCTCGTCAGAACGCGAGAAACGGCGGTCGCAGTTCTCCACCGGACAGGCATAGGGTCGCTCGTGCACGGGCGTCTTGCTGGGGCGGTTGGGGTACTTGCGCGGCTTCACTGGCACCAGTTTCAAGGGAACACTGCTCTGCTGGTAGACCTGCGAGAGGATCTCGTGTCCCTTGCTCGTCGATGGACTGTATTCGGCCAATTGCACGGCTGCTGCAGCAGCTGCGGCGGCGGCAGCGGCTGCCGAGGAACTGCCCCCTGATCCGGCCGAATAACCTGTGCCATTGGAACCGGGCTGCATGTCCGGATAGCTTTCCTGCTTGGGTATCAGCACTCCCAGGGCTGCATTACTAGAGCTCGCAGATGAAGTAGGTCCCGGCAGCACCAATGTCTGCTGCTGCTGTTGTTGCTGTTGCTGCTGCTGCACCTGTTGCTGCTGCTGGGCGTAGTCCGCCGGGGAGTCCAGCCACTGGTATTTGGGCTGCGTGCGCACATACTGCTGCTGATGCTGCTGCAACTGTTCGTGGCTACTGTGCAGTTGGCCAAGTCCCTCGAATCCAGAGGCTCCGGCATAGGTTGGTGGCGGTTGCTTGAGCAACAGGGGCGTACAGTCCATGGTCAGGCCCAGGAGTTCAGCGTGCTGGGCTGCCGCCGCCGCTGCCGCTCGTCCGTCGTCATATGGCGAGGGAGCGGCACCCGCAGATTGCTGCTGCTGCTGCTGTTGTTGTTGCTGCTGCTGTTGTTGCTGCTGCTGCTGCATGGTGGCATAGTGAGCGGGCAAACTGAAGAGGGGTGGCTGGAACATGGTCTTGTCCGGACTGGGCAGACCCCAACTGTTGCCCAAACTGTTCGAGGGCGGCGACATGGGTCCGGGCAAAACACCCAATTGCGGGGAGGGAAGTTGCTGCTGTTGCTGCTGCTGCTGGGCAGCTGCTGCGGCGGCTGCTGCTGCGTTCATGGCGTTGCCTGTGGTGGTGAAAATGCCACGATATGAGATTTTGTTAGCCTGTTGGTGTTGGATGGCATGTTGTTGGTAGTGTTGTTGGTGTTGCTGTTGATGCTGCAGCTGCTGCTGTTGGTGTAGCGGCTGTTGTTGGTGTGGGTCCTGTTGTTGTTGTAACTGTTGTTGTTGGTGTTGATGTTGGAGTTGACTGTGACTGTGATGGTGATGATGATGATGATGATGGTGATGATGTGGCAATTGTTGCTGTTGTTGGTGTAATATTTGGTGTTGTTGTTGTTGGTATTGATGCTGGTGTTGCGGGGAGCTCATGTGGGGCTGTTGTTGTTGTTGCTGCTGCTGGTGACTGTTGTGATGGCAATTCGTATTGCTGTTGTTGTTGCTATTGTGATGCAGCTGTTGTTGTTGGTGTGATTGTGTGCTGTTGTTGTTGTTGTTTCCCGGCGAGCCAACGCCCTCTGTGTTGTTGTGGCTTTCGCTTGTTGTCTGTTTGGTTGTTGTTGTATTTGTTGATGATGATGTTGTGTTGTTGTTGTGTTGTGGGTACATATTACAACTATTATTACTTGATTCTTCCTTGACAATGGCCAAAGCTGGCGGCGTACTGCGCTCCTCTTTCAATGGACTACAATGTGACAGCACAGGACTGCCCACGGATACCGCTTGGGGCTCCAGCGACAGGTCCTCGGATTCAATAGAACCTGGAAAACAAAAGAGAATAATTTTCCCGTTAATTTTGGTCGTGTTGGTGAACTCTTGCTCTTATTACAAATAAATAAAATATATATATTCCCTTAATAGATTTAAAAACCTTACATTTTGAGATAAAGAATGTAAATACTTGAAATATTCCCAATAATGAAATGTATAATGTATATTGTATACAAAATCTTTAGGAATTTTCTTTTTGTAAAAAAAATGTAAATAATATCTGAATTATTTGGGATAGTTTTCCTTTGCTCTTGGATTCCAGATAGCTGCCTAATCCACCCCACTCCTGCTGTTGCTGCTGCTCCTTCCGTCGCGGCAGGCTGCGATATCAATCACAGTTCGCTTGAACGGCATTGGCATTGGGCCACTGCAGCTGGGCTTTCTGGGCGCTTTGATTTCGCGGAAATCGAACGACACGGGAGGTCGCATCATCGCTCATCGCTCATCGTGCCCATCGGGAAGCGGAGAAGTCCAGAAGTGCAGAAGCCAGTGGCAGCAGTTGGGGGGCCGACAGGCAAAAGTGTCGGCGAGAAGACTAATTACGGAGGCAATCGGAATCTCTTGCAGCTCTTCTCTTTTTGCCCCTTTTTTAGCTGCTCACGATTGCCGCCGTCGCCGGCGCAGCAGCCGTCATTAATGCCGCTCGGACTTGAGCTTTAGCCTGGATATTGATTGAGTTGCAGTGCGCCTAATGTGCTGCGACATCAATCTGGTTCCAGCTGAGGGCAAGCGTGCATGAATTCACAGAAATTTTCGCGATAGCGACTCTATTGTTCTGGGCCCCATGCCACATGCATATATGTAGTTGCAAGCCCCATTAATGCTGTCAGGGCAAATTATGTTTGTCCCCAAAAGGCAACAATAAAAAATAAAAGGAAAGAGGACAACAAATTATGTTTAATTTGTGACAGGCCGGCCGGGCCAAAGGAGACGCATTCTAGTCTGGCCAATATGGAGCCTTTGTCTATACTCTCGCCTCTTTAGCCCGGACTTTGAGTGAGACATGGCCAGCCAGCTTGCCAAGTTTGGCGATTAAAAGCCGCTCCATCATTGTCATGCAAATTGTTTTAATGGATTTTCATTTGAAAATTGCCCATGTCCATGATTTCTGTGCTTTCTTCGTAGCTTTTTGGCCAGACGACAAGCTGCGTGGGTTGTGGCCAGAATTTATGAGTGACATTTCTTTGGCTTCTGGCGAGAGCTTTATATCCGAAGCATATTTTAGACGCGCATGAATCTTGGCCATCTCTTAAGTGTCTACTTTTTATGCATTTCCAATGGATCTCGGTGCTCTCCGGCTGTGTCATTCCTTGGGGCAAAGGGAAGAGAGAGCAATTAAACTCAATTGTTTTTGATAGCAGCAGCAAATCTAGTATACTTTATTTGCTTTGCCTTAATTCAATTAGAAATGCAGCTCCATATGTCTGTAGATATATGCCCGAACGTATGTGTACGTCTCGCTATATCCACAAGTCCGATATGGCTCTCGGGGTATCCGCGTATCTTGGGGCAGCCGCCGAGTGAGAAAATTGCGCTCGAAACATTGACACTGAACGGAAATGTTTAATACATGCGCCGTTGTTGTTGCTGTTCTAGCTTCTAGATTAATTAAGCGTCGTTGTAGCTGCCTTTTTATTTATTATTTTTATTATGCAGTCTTGGAAATATGAGAACGCTGCCCGTCGCGAGTATTGCAAAATTCAATTTTATTTGACATTAATGAAAAGTGAGCGCTAAAGTAAGATAAATAAAAACAAAAATGCCACAAAATTTGTGACATAAATTTCATAAAGTCTATACCGTGATATAGCCATTGGGATGTCAGCATTTTATTAATTTATATTTATGTGGCCGAGGCAGAGAAAAATATATAAAACTTTTGCTGCGGCTGGAGACCTCTTAAAATGCCCCATAACTTAATAATAACAACGAAATTATTAAGACACGAGAGATCGCCGAGGAAAAAGAAATCAAAAATGAAAAGCAAAAGCCACAAATCAGAAGACGTGCAAATAAAAATCAACGAAAATATGAGCACCTCAGAAATTGGTACTTCAACTTTTTCGAATGTTTATTTTTGATTTTGAACTTGTTATTCAGGGCAAGCCCAGGAGAAAAGGTTGAGCCAAGTCTGCTTGTACAGCAAGAGACAAAGCCCAGATATGTTGGAGTGGCGGAGAAGTAAGTCAAGATATGGCCAGCCTAGCACAGCGACAATTTCCGCGGACTCCACTGAGGCTGATTTATGTTGAGACTTAAGACTGACAACGGATTAGTTGCGGACTCCAGGCGGACTGCGACTGCAGTGCCACTGCGGCATGTGGCAGCTGCAAGCTGCATCCATTAGCAGCAGATAAAGGAAAACTCACGGTTCGAGTTTCTCCCCAGCAAAAGTCTATAAATGTTTTGAGGCTTTTGTCTCCAGGATTTATGTTCTGTATTATAATGTCGAAATATCAAGCTAAATTGAATATTTATTTTTGCAAAAATGTAAGTAAATTTGTTTATAATTTATGGGGGGGATATATTAATGTAATTAAAAAATGTTCCCGTTATGAAATCTTAAGAGTAACAAGGGAAGTTGTTATATAAAAATATGCGGTCTATTTTTCTTAGGAATCCTTTGCTACAGTTACGTTACTATGATTTCATATTTTAAAAAATATTTAAAAATATATATTAGACTTTTACTTACCAGTAATGGGTGGCGGTTCCACCACTGTGGTGGGGCCAAAGAACGAGGGTATATCGCTGGACGTGGTCACCGGCGTATTGAGATCGCCCGGCAGCGCCTCGATCATCTGCTTGTGAGCCTCCACCTGCTCCACGACCGAGGCCGAGGCGGGACTGTGCTGGCCACTGGTGTTCAGTAGGCTAAGGTGCGAGGCAGAGCTGCGTCCGCTGCTCGCGGCGGCGCTTGGCTGCACGGCCACGTGTCCGGGACTGCCGCCCTGCGTGGGCGTGGCTGTCTGGTTGCGGGCTCGCAGTACCGAGTTGTTGGCAGCAGCAACGGCGGCGGAGGCGGCTGCTGCGGCGGCCGCAGCTGCTGAGGCGCTGGTGTAATGCAGCAGCGAAGAGGAAGTGGACGAGGAGGAGGCAGAGGTGGAGTTCAGGGAGCCACTGCTGTGGCTGGTACCGGCTCCGCTGGGATTGCCACCGAACTGGGCGGGACTCAGATAGGTGGTCGCCGCCGATGACGGACTGCCGCTGCTCTGGGCCGCCGTGCTCGTCTTGAACAGACAGGTGTCGAAGCTCAGCACATTGAAGTGAGCGGCCGCGGCCGTCTCGGTGAGCAGGAATGCGTGATGCGTGGGCGCCACCAGGGTTTCAAGCCCTTCCATGATCATGGCCGCTGATGGAGTTCCAGGGGCTACGCCGCCTGTAAAAGGAAGAAAGATAAAAATGAAGATTAGTACTGTTATAACATTATATGTATATGTATACATATATTCTTAAAATATATTAATTAGTTAAGGTTAAGCTTAGATTATAGATTTTTTATAAAGGAAAAACATCCAATATGTCGAGGTAACCGCAGACCGAAGCTCAATGCAAATCCATGCTCGGCTCTTTCTCAATTGATTTGCCACGACAGCTGTTCGATTGCATAACCAGTCACCGGCTTTGGGTGAGTGAGTGAGTCGGGTCATCAAGTGGGGAAATTACTTAACAATTTAATTTGCCATCGACTGTCGTCTTCGGAAACTGTCGCAGACGCTTTCGCCTCCTGCGCCCACGGTCGCCAGCAATTAAATTAAGATCGATTAAGCACTTAGCTCGGAGCTGGCCAGCTGCCCTGAGAAGTAGAACAGCCGGCTTTCCCATGGATCACCCGGCCGAAGAGTGACCCAGGTTTGGGCCGCCTTCCACGGGAAGTGGGTCAGTCTGGCGTGCGGCGGTGGTGACCTTACGCAATACCATACCATGATGCGAACTTATGCAAGTCTCTCAATTAGAGCCCGATCGGAGTGGACAGCGGCAGCAAATTTTTCTAAACAAATGCCACATAAACTTGGCTTATTATTTATTTTGTAGTTTTTGTTCGCTTGTTTATCACAGATAAACTAACCGAAATTGCTTGCGATTGCCATCTGCAACGAGTTGCGGCACTGGGTCTGTGTCCTCCCCCGTCCCTCTCGACCCGATGCCCGGTGTGGCGTCATCCAAGCTCTCGAGTGTGTTGTTTTATTTTCTTATTTTCTGTATTTTTGTAATTTTTTTTTTGTTTTCGGTTGGCGAAGGCTTGACCGCGTTGATTTGCATTACAAGTGCACTCGTGTTGACAGGCAGCTATGCGCCAAAATAACTACCGTGCCACGGCGTATCCGACAGATACGATGGCGAAGACGAAGACGAAGACAAGGGACAGGGCACAAAATCTCTGAGGAGCGGAAAAAAGCGTCCCGCTTTTGGCACTTTTGCTTTTTTATTTACATTTGATTTCACGCATAATTTCCATGGCGAAGTGCACTCGAGACGGGCAGCGAGTGAAATTACATTCAAAGCTGTAGGCCACAGATTCAGATATACGGCTCGTAGATACGGATACAGCTACAGATACAGTTACAGATACATTTACAGATTCAGATACACAGGCTGCGCACACCCGCGGACACATTTGTGTTGAGCCAGCGCGTGCTGGGCTTGTGTGCCTTTTGTGTTTTGTTCATTCATAAAATTATGCGCCCGAGTCAATAATTTTTACAGTCGATCAAAGATTTGTATCTCTTTCGTTGTTGTTGTTGTTGTTGTGGTTGTTGTTTCCCCCTGAATGCGCGACTTGCCACATGAATCATCCGCGGGCGGCCGAAAACAAATCCAATACTTCGGTTCGGAGTGCGGACCTCTCAAAGTCTGAAAACTGGTTGGAGAGCATCGAATCCACTTCCACTTCCATCTCTTTGGACTTCTTGGTCTTGGCCCGGTCTTTGTCTTCCCCTGGTTCTTAATAACTTGGCTAACAATTGACACTCCCTTAAATAAAAAAGAAAAACCAACAACGGCAAGTCGAGCTGTAGATGCTGTGTTTGTTGCTTATCTACAGTGGCAACTGGCTAAGGCGATTACCGCCGAAACTTGACGGGGAATTCAAGCTACCAAGAAAATCAAGCTGGGAATTTCCGGCCAGCCCGGCAGCGTTCACCGTAGGCCATGGCCACTGTCCCACCGGCGGGCTGGCGGGCTGTCTGCCTGCGTTTATGTATATTGTAAATCTTGTCTCCGGTCCGGATCCCCTGACTTCTTTCACTCTGCATATTTTTGCATAGCATTTTTCTTGATTTTGTTTTTAGTGTACTAGTAGGACAGACAGCACACACACGTCAAGATCTCCGCTGCCATGAATGAATATTGGCAGTGGCTGTGCGCGCCAGAGGGAGATGGATATCCGAGAGATACATTTAACGGCTCGATGAGGAAGAAGCAAGGTAGAGGAGGCGAAAACGCCAAGCATGAAAAAATTGTTATGTTGATATTATTTTAATTAAGTTTTGCCGAACCGGTTGCCGCTGCCATTTCCATAGCGACTCTATGGGTTCTACGCTCTCTGCGCCTCCTTCCTTCCAGCCGATAGTGTTAACAATTCGATAGATGGGCGCCAATTTGTTTGCTTTGGCAAATGAAGAGCGGGGTGCCGGGGTCCGAGTCTTGACCCAGACCCCAGAGTTTTAGCCATAAATGTTTTCATTGGCAGCAGCAGCAGCAGCAGCAGCAGCAGCGGCACTGAAGACCTCGTTGAGGATTAAATGTTGAGACGCGTGAAGCGACCTTTGGCTACTTAGCGGCTCCAAAAATAAACTACAAGTTTATTGTCTTGGGATCTTGGGCTTGTGCAATCCTATCCGGGGTACTCTCATATATCCAACAGATTTGCATTCCCAACCTTGACAGGCGGCAATAGAAAACAAATAAAAATATATATATATATATTCCACCAGCTCACTTTTAAGACCAATAATACCTTGTACAGGTTTGGTACTCTTTTTTTTGCTAGTAATATGAAAAGAAATTGGAGAAACGTTTAAAGGAGAAGGGTAAGCGATCATTAGTCAAAGGTGTGTGTGTGTGTGAGGAGTAAAAGTATCTTGCAGATACATAGATAGAAGACATGCAAGTTGCATGCGACACGGAGCCAAAAACGAAACGATGATGGAATGGCCGGGCGGCAACGAAGTCCATCATTCACACAGCGGGAGCAGCCCGGTCCTCATCCCGCTCCTCACTGGCCATGCGGTGTCCAACAAGTTAACATGGACAACAGCAACAACAAAAACAACATCAGCAACGGCATCAGCATGAAAATGTATCTTTTGCCGCCGTCTTTTGCATGCGTAACACTTTGTCACACTTTTCATGCCAACAGCTCTGGTTGTTTTCCCCTCATGAGAACAATTAATGAAAATAAACAGCCGCGGGCCAGACAACAACAACATTTACACCACCACACACACACACACTCACACAGTTGTTGAATATGTATATTTTTATAAAGGCTTTTTTGTTCGAAATCATTTTAGTGGGCACTTAAATGAAAATTTTCTTGTTTGACTTGGCAGCAAAAACGCACAACTCCCGACGGCAGCTTCAAGCTTTTGGCCACTTTAAGTGTTACACGTTAAACATTTTCGACTAAACTACACAAATGGAATTTCAAATTGCAAGAAGGCATAACATTATTTACTTTATTGATATTTTATTGCGTGCCTTTGGTAAATATTTCACTCTCACTGAGGTACTCTTGAGTTTGAATTTATATAACTCTGAAGAAGCATAACATTACACAGAACTAAACATTTTTCTCTGTGTAAATTAGAGACTAATGGCGGGGGACGATGTCAAAGTGCCATTTGGCAAGTGCGGAAAGTGTTAAATGAACTCCGTGACCCATCAGCGGCTTTACCATCGTCGGCACCTTTGTCTCGATCTCTCTTAATTAATTTCCCAAATACCCCACAAAAAGCCACGAAAAATGACGAAAAGCGATGGAAATGCTTTACAAAATTGAAAAGTGATCTTTGGATTTGGGTTTCCTCCTCGACTATGGGAGGTTGCATGTAAATCACTTTGCTAATTGCTTTTCCATTTCCATTCCGCAGTGTTTGCATCGAAAATGCATGCTGCCAGTGGGAAATGCATTAGCCGAGGGCTGGGCGGGGGCGTGGAAATGCGGTGGATATGTTAGCTTGGGGAATGCAGACGGACCAAAAATTTGCCATCAAATTGTAAACATTAGATTGCTATTTTAATTGAGCGCTAAGTGTATGACAATAATTTAATTACAAATCTTGCAAAAATGGCAGAGGATACACTTGTACTCGGAGATGCATTAATTCGAAAATACATAGTTGCAGTCGTAAATTTCCGCCGCTCGGCTGTCTGCTCCCAGGTGCTATCTAAATAACGTGCAGAAATTTTTATTATGCGTTAAATGAATTTTTATATCTTTCAACTAAATCGAGGAATATAAAGTAAGGCAGGCGCCTGGCGAGAGCAGGGAAAAGCAGCAGCACGGTCGCCATAGGGGCAACAAATATATAGATATGCTTCCTGCTAATAAATTTAATAACAAGTATAAAAAGTTTATGAATATCATTTTGAAAAATCAAATATTTGTATAGGACAAATGTTTTATTTCTAAATATAATTTCAAATATTTATACAGGGCTTTCAGCCAGATATCTTTGGTATGCCTCTTGAATTGTGTAACATATTTTATAAGGGTAGTTATTTAAAAAAGAAGTCACTATTCAATGCATTTTAAATTTATTTAAAAGGACGAAAACAAACCAACTAGATAATTAATTTTTTCACTAAGAAAAGCTCACGTACGCACACTTGCTTGAAAAGAACCAACCCAAATCACAAAGGCCTTCCTATTATATTTATATAGAAAGGTAATACAATATTTTCCTTTTTATTCAGCACACACATAAATCAATATTAAAATTTATGCTCTTCTAGCATTCATATAAATTATATACATTTTGTTGCCCAATAATTCAAGGCGCAACCAACATTTATCATTTGATTTAAAATGAATTAAATAAATGATTGAGTTTTTGAACATATTTTCCGTCACCAAAATAGATTCCCCTTATATATTTTTCTCAGTTAAAAAGCACCCACCTGGATCGCAATGGCACTTGCAGAAGAATTCAAAGGGGTTTTCCTTTGGTCTTTCTCTCGCCTTGTCGGCTTTTCCTAGCTCTGCGATATGCTATGGAATTTTCACTGTCAGTTTTCGCGAAAGTTTTGTTCTCACTGCGAGCCGAAAATCAATAAAGCACTGCTCGTGTAATCATTTTATACTGCGGCTGTGGGGGGCTTCCATTCATGCCGGAATATCCTTTCACTTTTACTTTAGTTTTAGTTTTGGATTTTCCGAAATTTTCACCGACCGGGCTTGTTTTTATTTTGTATTTTTTGAAAACTTTGTTTCATTGGCACTGGTCACTGCACAAACGATTTGTTGTTATTTTCTTGCTGGGATTTTCCAAATATATATTCCGCGTCGAATATCTATACAATATTGTGTGTCTCTACTGGGGACTCTTCTGACTTGGTTTCTGATTATGCTGGCTAGCTACTGCGGCTGCTGGGGCTTCTTCTAGTTTTCAACCGTCGCGTTTGCTTGTTCGAACACAACTGAGGCACGAGATGCGCCCTCTTTCGGTTTTTATGAATGAAACTCAACATCGCTGGGCCCCCGTCCGACTCGCTCACTCACACACCGAAGAACGGCACGCGCCCCACCGTCGATATCGAAAGAGTGGCGCTCTCTCTCAGTCTCTGGTGGGGAAATCGCGGGCTTGCCGACGTCACCGTCTGCCACACACACACGCACACAGATGAACATATAACGTAGCCGGCCGGTTTGCGCCCGGCGTCGATCCAATCGTAGGTCTGGTTGCCTCCCTACACTGCAGCCATTTTCATCGCGCAGGCGCACTCCAGCCAATCAACAGTTTGCCAGGCCTTTCCGGCGTGGTGAGTTTCGAGCACTCTCCGCTCTCCGCTTTTCGATTTCGACTTCGACTGCTCACTCGCTCGCGGAGGTAAAAATAATACAACAGGTACCCGGTGCCCGTGCGCCCCCCTTTGAGTCCAAGAGTATCTATCGATTCGTGCGCCTGTGTGAGACTTTTAGCGGCTGGCAAATGTTATGATTTCCCGAAATACGTCATCGGTGTGCGCGAAAATTGCGGCCCATTAGCCGGGGCAGAGCCGTAGCAATTTTCGCATCGACGTAAACACCGAGATACCAATTGTTTGCATGAGCCAGCCGCCAGAAATGTACCGAAGACGGTACCGATTCCTAAACAAATGATTCACTTTACCATTTATGGACAGTTTTTCGGGGCCAAGTCTACGCCGTCCTCCCATTCCCCCCTTTCTTCCGGTGGCCGCGGCAAAGGTCAGGGTGGAAATTGTTTGAGAAATAGTCGGTGGGCAAATGTTTTGGCAAGTGTCTGTTTTGCGAGATACTTCAGAGTGTTTGGATGCCGGCACAATTCACCGGCATTTGAGACACTTTTATTGAGTTTGGGAAGAGTTGCGACTGGGAGAACATGGGGACTATGGCGAAGGTCAGTGTGGGGGCCTAATAAGGAAATGTTGGAATGTTTTTGCAAAATATTGGCCTTTTGTCAGGGTTTCTCATATATTTTTCCCATGAATTTTTTAATAAAGTCTAGATTTAAAGACAGAATGGGTTTATTTATGAGATCAAGTAAGAAAAGTTAGAACCAGGTGTGTGCCATTGTGGGATACTCTGTGGATTATTTAAAAAACTTGGCATATTATTTTCTAATTATGCCGTAACTCAAAGGAATCCTGGTAACAGAACTTAAATTAATATGGCGGAAAATGCATAAAAACATGTTGGTAGGAAAATGTTTTTAAGCAATATTGTTAATGAATGAACTTCAACTTTATTCCTGTAAGCCTCAAGTTGGCTTTCCTATTTTATTTAAACTTAAGAAACCCATCTGTATCCGTCTTTAATTTCTACAGAAATATGGGATTGGGATTTATCTTATTATGTGGACTTAAGTGGCAATATTAAAACCAACTTGATCAGGTAACTTATCAGAATGTTGCTCATAGACTCGGAGATCGATGTGCTGCTTATTAAGATTTATTTTCGATTGTTTCTTATAAAACCTCCCTATAAGCAACCCGTGTATAAAAAGGCCTTAACCATTTTTCTGGTCACTGATTTCCGTGAGAAAAATATAACAAAAAGAATTTGGAGTTACTGATGTTTACGGATTGCTTGGCAAACACATTTAAATATTGTTGAATCTATAAAGTTTAGGGGCTTCATAAAATAAGAATAGCATAGCTAGTGCATTCCAAGTTTAATATCTTTTACTTAAACACACTATTATTCAATTACCATTACCATGATTATTTTATATTTCATTTCGCTTGAATAAATTGCTGTAAAATTCGCATAAAAGTTTATATTTCCTCGGTTCCGAGTTCGGTTCGCTGTCCGTCCGCCGAAATTGCATTGACAGCCTCTATGGAATTTCGGCTCATATGTTTATCATTCGTTCACATTGTAAACGAAACAAGCGTGTTTTCATGTGCTAAGGACAAGGTTGCACGTCTGTTGTCTGCTGTGCACTGCACTGGCAGAGGCATTCATTCCGCATTGTTTTTACTGGGAAACATAAACAAAATTGCATCTAGAAATAGTGCGAAAATCATATTGAAACGTTGCCAGAAAAGAGCCCAAGTTTCGACTGCAATTGTGGGGTAAAAAGAAAGAATGCAGCGCGGTCAACCCCTAAGGTCTTGATAATCAGGTGATATTAGTCAGAGTCACGTCTTAGCGCAGACGCCGCTTTTGTGTTGATTGGAGCACACGCCATGACCTAAAAATAAACACCTGGGGAGGTGTTTTCCTCTCTTCGTTTTTTGCCGGCAAAAAGTTCAACGCAACAGACAACAACAGAGTACGTCAGATAATCGCCAGATACACAAGGGATACGGATACGGATACAGATTCAGATACAGATACAGATATATGCGCCCCCCACCCAAAAATAGAACTTTGCCTCATTTGTGAAAGTTTTTGCCAAACAAAATAAATACAAATCGCAAGCGCTCCCGATTATTTTTAACCTTCACATGATGCTGACCGATCGAGGGCCCAGGGGAGGAATGGGCCGAGGTATATGGCAATGGAAAGGGACAGGTGCCGGAGGCCACCACCAGCCAGCCACCTGTAGTGGGCCAACGTACGCCAATAAAAGCCAGAGCGATTTTCATGTAGTCAGTAGCGAGGAAAATGAAAACTCATTATGCTAAATATAGCCAAATCTATTCACACAGTTTCTAAAATTTTCACCGTCAATTTCTAGTGACGTGTTGTTCGGGGTCTGTTGCGTTGTTGTCTTGTTTTCCCAGAGGGAAAACGAGCGAAGAGTAAAGGCGAGAGGTGCTTCGGCCCAGCCCCTGACAAAACACCCACGAAAATAGTTTGCACAATCTAAAAATACACTTTTGTGGCCATTGTAAATTATTTGCTGCTGCTGACTGCCTGTCTGATTGCCGCTCATCCAAAGATGGACATGGCTGGGATTTTGGCGGGGGGCGTGCCCCGCGCACGTATGTACTTATAAGCCCGGCTAAGTTGCCAGGTGATGACTGGTAGCTGGGCTCAATCAGCTGAACTGCTGCTGCACCTCTTCCTCAATTTGGTAGCACCGGCAGCAGCAGCAGCGCACCCAGCACAGGTTGGTTCTCTAATAAACATGCAAATCACAAAAAAAGAAATAAATGGTTAACTCTTTTGTGGCTCCAACAAACTAATTAACGTTATTTTTGGCGCTTAAACTTGGGAATGCGAGATGTAGGCCAATAGAGACCGAGTTAAATCGAAAATAAAAATAAATTGGTGATGTTTTTACAAATCTAATTAAGTTTAATAGAAAAAAACAGCTGTTGCCTTTAATTTATTATATTTTAAATATATACATTTGAGTTTGAAAAATGTATATATTTTTGTTTGTCTAAGAGTATCTTGTATCTGCTCCTCTTTGTTGATTTTTGACACTGATTCTGCTTCCAGATTCCAGTTCTTTTTGATGTTCATTTATATCTGGCTTATGAGGTACCTTGAGATTCGGATTTACTAAGTTATTATCAAGCCATATTCTTAAAAAAAAACAGTGAAAATACCTCAAAATTGTATCAACTTTATTACTTTAACTTTGACAATCTTTGCACTGCTTGCACCATTATGCCTTACCTATCCGAATACCCGACACTGTATTGATATCTATATCTGTCTATATGCCAATTCTTCGGCTGTGTGCGAGTTCTGTGTATCGTGTGGGTTTCCTCAGCCGTGTTATCTCATTGAGAACGTGGCTGAGCGTGCGTGGGTCAACTGGGGAGACGCTGCCTCTTGATGAGGCAGAGGCGTTAGATAGTCGCAAGTCGCGAGTCGCAAGCCAGATGACACATGGCACGCGCCCAGCACAGGCACAGCCACAGATACATTCACTTGGTGTGGATCGGTACTACAGATACAGATACAGATACACGACAGTCAAACTTGACTAACAAACAAACAGACATTGGCATCAATGCCAAGCAAGCCAGGCTTGTCTGTCTGCCTGCCTGCCTTTTAGCCAAGGTCCGCGATTTGCCGTAAATGGTGAAAAGTTTTGTTAGGGCAACTTTTGAGTTACAGCGCGCGTAGGCTGTAATTAAAAGCGTATTGACTGGCAATGCAACTCGTTCGCTCTGCCATCCATCCCGCTTGCACTCGATGCGACGGGTATCTGCGAGATACACTTGAGCCCGGACCGCTGTTTTCCGTCTTTCTATTCACTTGTTATTGGTGGTTGGCAACTCAGCGGATTGCCCTCGGAACAGAAATTGTTTTGTTTTGCCCCGCCAGCTGCCAATGGGCGCTTTGTAAGCGTTTTCAGTCCGATTGAAACGCAACGCACTTGATTGTCGCCCGTCGTCGTCGTCGTCGTCGTCGCTGCGCATTACGCAAGCCAACTTCATTTTGGCTTTGGCCACAGGTGAGAGCCATAAAGCGTTTGGCCAAGTGGGCGTCGCCATCAGCTTTTTGGAGTTGAGGTGTGAATAAATTTATATACATTTTACATATAGTACATATATGTTTTTTTTTGTTGGATTTATCTCCGTTGCGATCGTTTTGATAGCTCTTAAGTTTCACCGCTTGGAAATTGTCAGGACATAAAACAAAAATCCAAAGCAATTTTATTTACTGTCTGTAAAATTCATAAATACAATTTTTGATTTCTTTTATATTTTATTTCATTTAATTTATGAGCATCATAATATGCTTTATGATCTTGGCATGTTGCCGTAAATTGCTGCAGTCAACAGCAAAAGGGGGGAAATATTGTTGTTCAGAGACACAAATTAGAAATTTAAACATTTGGAAATGCCGAAAAAATATTCCATTGGCTGAAATAGAGCAGAGACATGGAGTGGGCGGAGAACTGGGGACGGAATCACAGAAATACGGATCTAGCGCCATTTTTCTTCCCCTCTCTTCGTTGAAAGGTCGGCGAAAAATGAGGTGAGAATTAAATTGGATTTCTGTGATTTTCGGCTTATTTTTTTATTAGTTGTCAG